GGTTTTGATGTTTAGGTTTAAATACTAAACACAAAAATATAACACATTCTGTGTCTACAATAATTTCTGAAGTGTATACAAGTGTGCTGCAAGTAAATGAACTTTTAAAAAATTTCAAGTCTGCCTTTCTTTATGCAAACATATTTCTTTCTACACGTATGATTTCTTTTCCTTATTTTAAAGTCTCTTTTTGTTTAGTTTTTAAAAAGGTTCAGGGGGACCAGTACTGTGGAATCTAACCTCTTGCCCAAAACTGAGACTTCATGCAAATAAACCTCCTATTAGGTTTTGGGTCTTGTCCTCCAAGGGTTCAGAGTTAAGTGGAACAGCTTCCTTTATGCGGTCAGTTTTGCCTGTGGATAGTGGCAGTGCTCTGTTTCAGTAGGTTTCCTTACACACCCTTTTCTTTTGTTCCTGTCAGTAGCAGTCTCCAAATTTTTACAATGCAAGTGGTAGGCAGTAAAGTGCTTTATACAAGGAAATACTATACAGACGTGGAGACGTTCCATGTCACATCCCACAGACCACAGCTCATACGCAACACCCAAGGGAAGGCTCTTTTAAAGAAATACCTTTCCTGATGATAGGGTTGGGGATTCCTTACAATCTCATTTATTACTTTAAGTAGCATCAAAGGTGAGTAACAGAGCCGAGGCTGAGAGGAGCCCTTGTTAGCGGTGCTGCCCGTAATGGGTTGCGGCTAAATATCACGCGGCTATTAAAATCTCCCTCAAAATGATGACTTTCAGAATTAGTTTCATAGAACACATATCAGCGTAGGGGTTCCCATTTCTCTTTAGAAAGCAAAACTGAATTTCAACATGGATCCAGAGCAGATTGGTTAGGCAAGGCCCATAGACTACAACATATCTTTACATTTTGGCACTTTAAAGAGAACTTCCAGTTTTGTTTCTGAGGTTTCTTTTTCAATGAGCTGGTGGTGTACACACGGAGAAGTGCCACTATGTGCTATACCCCGTGGCTGCTATTTGCACTCTCTTTTTAAGATATCCATGACTTTTCTTCCGAGCGATGGCTTCCAGTGTTGGACAAAGCTTTTCATATTCACAATTAATTTGCCTGTTCTTACATCCTCGTGTCCTGCTACAAGATACTCCAAACCTAGAAGAGAACACAATTAGTGGCAATACATAATATTAGATTTTTTTAAAAGAGTGAGATGGGATTCTTGCTAAAGCTATTCCTTACTTTGCATATTGAAAATTAAAGGGAAAGAATTCAGCATTTATCCTGCTTTATAATAAAAAGTGCATTTCATAGAAACTGAGTAGTCCTGCCTGAGGGACATCATAGAATGTCGGCTAACAGATGGAATAGAGTACAACTTAAAAACATCAAACACTAATGAGGTATGGGTTTCAAAAAGAGATCATTAATTGGTAAAATCACTAAAGGAATGGCTAATGGAAAACTGGATGTTTCTTTTTCCTCTTTTTTAAAATTTTGTTTATTTATTTATTTATTTATTTTGTGTGTTTGTGTGTGTGTGTGTGTGTGTGTGGCCAGCTCAATCCCACCAGGGGGCGGGGCTGGCTGGCATGTGGTGCTGGGGGATTGAACCGCGGTCCCTGTGCTTTGCTAAGCTTGTTCTAAGTAGGTCTAAGTCGGTGCTTTAGACCACTGAGCCATCTCACCAGCCCAAAACTGGATATTTCTATACTGCTCAGGAACTGTACACTCATTATATTGTAGTCTCAAAAAAAAAGAGGTTGTCAGTGGCAACATCAGACAGTTTTTTCTGCCACCTGAGGGTCAAGTGAGGGACACTGGTACAGGCCACCCATGTTCTCTGTCTTCTGATGGGACTGAATATGGAAACAGAAAACATTGTTTCTAATAGACACCAACCAACGAGTTTATCTTGACTCAGGCACAGCTTTGTTTAGAGATTAGAGGGGATAGAGGAACAAGCCAAACAACACCAGAAAGAGACTATGCAAGCACAAAAGGTTGGAGAATGCACAGGATGTGGCCTGGATGTTTCAATAAGTCCTCAAAATGGGACTATGAAAAAAAAAAAAGAAGGGCCAGGGAGATGGCTCAGTGGAATAAATGCTTCTCTGGCAAGCTCAAGGGCCTGAGTTCAATCCCCAGTTCTGAAAAAAAAAAAAGGGACTATGCCAGAAAAAAAGGGCCTTGAGGTTCTGAAAAAGAAGATATAAGGCATTATCTTGGATTGAATGCCAGCAAGGACAAATCAGCAACGAAGGATATTTTGGGATCAGTTGGGATATAAGAAGAAGAAATGATCTCTTATTAGCATTCACATTTTTAGTTTTCATATTAGGTAACATGAAAACTAAAGTTGTAGGCAAAGCAAAGCAGGTGGTGGAAAGGAGTCTATACGCACACATAAAGAAGGATCTGCGCTACAACATTAACAGAGATCAGACTGCATTGGATGGAAATGTGACATTTAGAAAATTTCCCTAAATTTCTGTAATGTATTTGTATTTTATCACTTTAACAATAATAAAAAAGATTATTAAAAAGACTAGTAAACAAAAACAATACTAAAGGGCCAGCGAGATAGCTCAGCAGACTAAGCGCCTGCTTTGGCAAGTGCAGGGACTGGGGTTCAATCCCCGGTCCTGCATGCTGTGCTGGCCCTGGCCCTGGGACACCCTAAGTCAGCAACTGAGTCTGGGCCTGGTGGCTCACGCCTGTAATCCCAGCGCTGGGGAGGCTGAAAACAAAAGGCTCACTATGAGTCCGAGCAGTGTAGTGAGACCTTGTACCAAACGCATATATAAAAAACAATACTAAATTTAAAAATAGCTGTCATGATGTTTTCAAAAGAAGAGAAAGAGGAAAATGATGTTCTAGAAAAAAAATATTTGATATAACACGGAGGACTTAATATAAAATGCATTATAAGGTAATTACAATCTTTAAAGAGTCATTTGCCTTCCGCAGGTGAGTTCTATTATTAACAGACTGGTTAAAAAGAGTCTTGATATTGTCCCTCTAGCATCTAATAAGATCTTTTAAAAATATATTTACATGCCTGGCATGGTGGTGTAGCCTATAACCCTGGTACTTGGAAGGCTGAGGCAGGAGGAAAATTACAAGTGTGAAGTCAGTCTGGGCTACGCCACGAGTTCAAGGCCGACCTGAACTACACATTGAGACCTTGTCTCAAAAAACAAAGAAACGAACAATTTATTTTAAAAGCTCCAAAATTAAATGTACTATTTTACATGAATTTACTTTGAAACTAAAGGTAAAACAAATGCTATAGTTCTCCATTAATTGTAAAATCAATGAACATAAGTGATACCGAATAAATCTGTAAGCTGTGGAGCAGCATCAGACCAAAAAATTAACACGCAAAACCATGCTTTCTTTTACATCTCTTGGCAGTATTTACATTTAGTTTTCCTATCTCTATGTTTCGCCGTCTACTTTGCTGTATGCAGGAGGGTGCGCAGTTTCATTTGTATGCAGAGAAAAAGAAAATACATCCTCGTGCTAGCCTTGGCACTCTAAAATGTATGGCCGGGCTGGTGAGATGGCTCAGTGGTCTAGAGCACCTACTTGGAACAAGCTTAGCAAAGCACAGGGACCGCGGTTC